ACAGAAACCTGGCCCAACCCCTGCTGTTGTCAGCAAGGAAGCCTGTGTAGCGGAAGGTAATTCCCCAAAATTATTAGCCACAGTATTCATCAATGAACATTGGATGCTGACTTCCACTGTTTTAGTCGATTTTTTTAGCTGAAGGCTTCCGGTCAAGCATCCACGCCATTTGGTGCGCCATCGTGTTACGTTTGTTCATTCGTGCACGATCCCTAACTAGTTAAGCAATCATCTCGAACTCTAGTTTGGTCCCGAAATATAATTCGTAATCTGGACGATCAGTTCTGGTGTTTTGCTTTGCCTTCGGTCTACACGGAAAGAATACTGTAGAAGTTGTAGATGCTAGATCTTGCGTTAGTATGCTTCGTACTATCCGTGGACGTTAATACCCTCAGCCTAGAGGCTATAAGAGATATGGCTTTGGTCGGGTGAGACAAGGATCACTAAGACGACGGCAGAGTTTCCATTTGCTTTAACAAATGGTTTAAATGAGCAAGAGCAGTTGACCCACCACTCATCGGACTCCAAGACCCGAAATGGTACCAATTCAACTTTAGATGGCACCTATCAACCTTCCTCCCGTAAAGTAAAACAGAACCAACTAATTCTCAACACCATCACAGAAATACGGAACCTGTGCTGTGATCAAATCACCATAGCTGAAGACTTCAGTGTTCTAGTAATGCGAAATGATTAAGAATTTTGGAGACATCACTAGGTCGGACCCATTTATTACTAGATAATGTTCAGATCAAAAGCCTTCCAGTCAGTAGTGACTATGAGGTAATACGAGTTGATCTGGTCCTTTGCGAGGGATTATAGCGGGACGCTACATGACCCTCTCTTAGCTGTAACAAGGATGACTTCACCCAAATGAGAAGGCATCTGTCAGATGCAGAACAGCCCACGGATTGTGCTTAGCTAATAAAAGTTTCACACTAGGGAGTAGTGGAACGGATCACTCAAACAGCTATCTGAATAACCGTTCCTCTTGCTGTCCTAAAAAACTAGAAACATCTCCTCATACCCTCCAATCATATTTTGAGATGACTACTGGTGCCGGTTAACCCACTCAGTCACCTGCACCATCTGGACAGATTTTAAAATACAGTAGGCGCACAAGATTGATTATAAAAATTTTATTATGGTCTCAGCAACATTTGTATCAACATCTAGACTTATCAGGTTTTCGGCTGAAGATTGAAGGCCAGTTTCGGTGCTTGTCTGGTACCCTTTTGAACTAGTCGTCTGACGGCTCAGAAACTCTTTCATCTGGAAGTAGGTTTCAAGAGTTTGTGATTCGATGATCGAAACGGTACTCCACGGAGATATAGTCCCTCCTAGGTGCTGGGACTATTCTGCTGTTTTCAGTGAGATATTTCGACCTGGTGTGAAGTAGGGGAGAAGATAAATGATGTCCATAATCATCTCTCAGAATTCTAAACTTTGTATTAATATGTCCTTTCTGTCTGGATAATTAATCATACCAGAAATCATTCTCTTCCTAGAAAATAAGACTTCTTAAGACAGTGGCTGACTACCTGAATGCAGTCATCTAGTCCTGACCTCGCCCGAAATGTGAACACTTCACTGAAGATTCAGGCAAATGACCTGTTTATTACCCACAAGGACCTAAAACCTCAGCCTGTCATCATGCGAGACGACTCTGTAGTTTTAGATTATGAGTTTCTATGATACCTGGATGTGCATGGGTGTGAGTAGATGGGAGTGGTATCCAACCTTTCTTATATGGACTGACACTTGTGTCCAATGTGCACGGTTAAGCACTTCGCTACGTTGCCAACCTTTTGAAATATTCTGACAGTTCGTTGTGAAGTCTTCACAACGTAAGCATGTCGCTGTTATCCTAAAACTTTCTTCACATTTACAAGCCGCCTCCTCAAAGAACCATGGGAGAATCGGCGAGTCCAAATTATTCATTGACATACAAGATAAATTAGAAGAGGCCTTGTACAGCGCCTTTCGGTACCCCATTGTTTGCCGTTGTCCAGGAAGAGAATTTGGAATTGACCGTGACTTCCTCCTAACAGGCCTCCCTTGATGAGTAGTCCTGAGTATGTTACTTCATTGAAAGCCATGCTTACATCTTCAAAAACAAAGTCGTTGGGTTTCTTGTTACTTGTAGACTTGACTCAGTCCCCCTGACTATAAAAGGTTTGTCAGGCAAGAGATGTTTATCCAGAAACTTTGCTGGGCAATGATAAAAATGCTGTTAATTTTTAGATATACCGTGGTAACTTTGTTGATAGTTTTCTCCAGAATCTCGATCAATTTTATGGACTTAAATTTCAGGGACATTGTTTAGATATCCGCTTTTGGATGGGGTTACTATGGCTTCTTCCCTATCGTGCGGATGTACTCTATTTGAGATACATTCTAGTCACTGGGCCAGTTAAGTTGACCAACGGTTCGTTGCTTTGTCTTGCGTCCCATTGGTTTCCCTATGTCTAGAAATTTAGCTGGTGTCATCAGGATCTGTCCCATTTTTCTCTGACGCAGACAGAGCTGATGCTGGGGGCGGTGACTCTTTTTAGACGATGCTGGCGACCTTTGTAACTGCTTCCACGTTTTCCTGATTCCCAACGATTTAGGACTCTGCTGGTCGCTTTATTGTTGAATTTCATTTGTTAAACTTTTTCCTTGGTTTGTGCACAAGCGTTTTGAGGTAGATTAATTTCGAACTTCCTGCGTAAGTTATGAGGTCCAGCAACAAACTTATCTTTGGCTACACCGTACAGCCTTCTAGCTCTTGAACTTCCGGTTGTGATAAGCATGTTCAAGCACCTGTGCTCACACCTAAGTAGTTCACGAATCCCCCGGCTTATCCATGAAGGATAGTGTCTTCTATTTTTTGAGGCAGACCAAAGGATGGAAGATTTAGTCATCCGGGAGCGAAACTGCTTGAATTATCTCCATGTAGCTTCCAAACAGGATCCAGGATTTACATCCTAGTACTGTGATGATGGCATAGAAATGTCGACAGTCATGTCGCCTTCCCACAAAATTGATCAAGCTATGGTTCTGGTTTAGGATACTGTAGCAGCCGTGGGCTTAAACGTGAGCATGGTGTTGTGACTTCTTCCAGTGTTCACAACCCCACCGTAGGAGTAAAATAGGTTATGAGCTGAGGGGAAAAAATATGGTGATAACGAGTATGTTTCCTAGCACACAGGATTCGAGCCTATGAAATGGAAGGTTCTATCACGAATTGTCTGGAAATAGCGCTGTCAGGATTATTCAGGCAGCGAACTAGCGTTGTAACTGTCAGTATTTAGGTGCCCACCAGCCTAGTTTTTCCAAGAGAAGATCGTCTATGCTGTAATCAGGACTGCGACGTATTGGGATGAGATTTATGTCCCTCTAGTTGTATTGTATTCTACAGCGTAGGAGTTTGCATGATCCACTGTAGTGTGCGAGAGCTTCTCTCACATGAAAAACTAGGCACTTCTTCAGGTAGATACTGCTTCCCCTTCCCTGAAGCTGAGTCGGTGCGCCTTACGCGTAGTGAAGTTTTGAATGTGAACTTTACATTAACTGACTTGGAATGATGGACATCATTTCACAATCGCAATGATATCCAGATTTTTGGAATCAACCACACTATGTAGTTCATTGCATTTATTCGACAGATCGATGACATTTTTGTAGCTAACTCCTAGTGCAATCTGGCGCCTTCGTGTTCAACGCATAGATATTTGCGAATCATGACATCCCGAACTTGGAATACTCTAAAACTCCTAATGATGGCATTTTTATCACCATCGCGGCTTGGTATGCCCAAATGCAATCCCATGTACTTCCTTTTAAATGTGATCTGATATGTAAGAGTATTTGCAGCAATAGACACCTGATCTGTCGATAGTATGAGCATCGTTCCGAATCGTATACCTCCAAGTTTTCTGAATTTATTATGTCTTTAAGAAGCCCACTGACTGACTTACTGTGAAGTTATCCCTGTAGCCGATTCAACACAGACTGTGAATGGGTATACCTGCCAGTGTTGAAGGGAGTTCCTCGTCTAGGGTTAGTTTGGCTAGCCGGATTTCGCGCTAGAAGATATTCTTGGTATTCGCAGCTTTCGAAGATAAGTGACCCATCCAGTAGGTTGAGTTTGTTGTGTCATTGAAATGATGGTATCGTTCCATCCTCAAGTGACGATACTTCTTGTTTAGCAATTATATCTCGATGTTTGTGAAAGGTTGTATCACGCCATTTACTTGTGTCCATCTGACTTTGGTGGTGATCACTTGCTGTCCATTGGTGTCGTCGGTAGGGCTAAATCTTAACTGTCAGAGGTTTGTACGGTGATCTTTGACGTAGGCCGCCGGCTTAGTGTGCGTTGGAAAACGGATCCTCCTGTAGTGAGAGTTAGAACACCAAGAAAACGTGGTCTGTCGGAAACCCTAACATTCATTTTCGATGGTCGGTAAATTTGGGAGCTTTGAATGAGTCCTAAGATTCGAAGTTTTCGTATCCAGTAAAAAAGATTGAGCCAGTATTCCATTTCTCAGCTGGACACCCGATTCATGGGCATCTGAAAACAACACCTACTGAATCTGGCACTCGGTATGATATAATGAAACAGATGTGATTCCGATGCTGTAAATAGGAGAAAAGGACGATACCGATAGCAAAAGAAATCCGTTGTTTAGAAAGGAAATCTAACAAAAGACTTGAAATATCTTGGACAGGATGATCACACTTTTACTCAGTAATGAATTGGAAATCATGTTTTACAAACATTCGCAAATGAAAGTAATGCTTTACACAATATAAATATTTGCATGTAGTCTATTCAGTCATATAAAGTTCTAATATTACGATGACGCGATTTCCAGGGCATAATTCAGCACTTAACATGCGAATAGAATAATTATCCTTTACATGTCTGGAATTTATATGATAACTGACAAGTTTTGCTCATCATTTAGGCCTTATCACAATGGCATGAAATTGAGAATTGAACAAATTTTGGGTGACCTAGATCGTCCAGTATAGGTCACACGGATGTTTTGAAAATGGCCTTCAACGGTTTCAAAGAGATATTTGTAAAACAGAAGGTATTAATTGATTTGTGATTATATTTATTTTAAAAGACTTTTCGCCCGAAAAAGAAGTTTGCACCAGATACAATACGCTATCATCTTCACAAGCACGCTGAAGCGTCGTTAAGTGCAGGCATCGATCTAAGAGAAGCTGTAAAAAAGCCAGAAGATGAAGAACTGAATGACTGGATAGCTGTGCATGGTACATTCAGTAGTTTTTTAGGCTTCTATTATAGTGGTCGATTTCTATAATCGTATAAATCTTATTTACGGGACAATATGTGATCGGTGTACTGAACAAACATGTCCTACTATGTCTGGGGGCAAAAAATTTGAGTACCATTGGCGGGATAATGTACATTATAAAAAACCCACGCCCTTACCAGCTCCAAAGTACATTGACGAGTTGATGGACTGGATTGATGCACAAATTAATGACCCATCTTTATTCCCTACGGATATAGGTAATGCATTTCATTACTTTTATAAAATTATAGGTGTTCCTTTCCCAAAGTGCTATATCCCAACTGTAAAGAAGATATTTGGAAGACTGTTTAGAGTATTTGTGCACGTTTACATACATCACTTTGATCGGTTGCATGAAATAGGAGCGGTATGTTTAATCACTTTAAAATGATTTTTCAGGAAGCTCATGTCAACACTTGTTATAAGCATTTCTACTACTTCGTGACTCACTTTGACCTCATTGATAGGAAGGAGCTAGAACCTCTAGTAAGTTCACGATTGTTCACATCATGCCGTTTTTCTACTGGGTTTTCTGAATTTTTCCTTGTATCACAACCATAACATAGACGACTGGCGAAAATGTTTCTTATTAGTTAACTAAAAACGCGTAAAGTAGACTAATTTACAGATTTAAATGGTAGGCCTAAATTGGCCTAAGCCTTACTAGTCAATTACCGTGCTTATAGCCCGTATGGCTCTTACTATTATTCGTAATCTATGGGGTTTCGTCACCAATGTACCTTGAGGGTTGGAATTTTTTTCTTAGCGTTTTTTATTGATCTATAACTACGACTTTATGGTGAAGAGGTTTGTGGAAAAATAAATGAGTTCTAACTGATCTGGTGCTACAGCATGCAGTTTCTGTGTAACTGAATCAGTTCCTTATTCTAAAAAACGGAGTCGTTGTCTAGACTGTTTATTATGCGCATTCGTGGCTGACTGATCAACATACAAATGAATTTCCGGAAAACATGGATGGAAGCTATTAGTAGTAAATCCAAATAAGCGCGAAACCACACTGTGAAGTTTACTGTCACTCGTTGTTAGATTTCATGGTGTTTCGCGTCTGTCTCCTGAGTTACAATTAGAAGTAATTACCATGCCTCGGTTTTAGTCATTACTTCTATTTCACTGTAAAAGTTTTTCCTCATGAAAGGTTTGTAAGGAACTGAATTTAGATATCTCAGTTTGGAAATTAGTAATCTCATCATATTCTGTTGCGTCACACATTTGTATAACAGTAGTAGCTATTAGTTACCACGTGTTTGTGTTGCACAGTTCTGTATGCTTATTGTTGCAAAACACCTACTAATAACATTATGACTGCTACTTCTGTCACCAGTAATTCTAAAATGGTTACATAAGTATAAGAACTATGTCCTACGAGACACAAAGCCCAACTTAGCCTATATATGAAGTTGTAGTTGGAGGTATCTTATGTTAGATAGAATCAAATACAGTTGAATTCACAAATTGAAACAATATGTAATTTATATCCACTAGAGTTTAAATGAATATAAATGGACAGTCGATCGAGGCATAATACTGTACAACGAAACTTGTATCTGTGATTTTTCCAAAATTCACAAAGTTTTGAGATAATAATATTCCATGTTTCTGACTACGTTTTAATGCCTCTGTTATATACACTTTTTACTCTTAGAATGATTTGACGCAAAGGATATGTCACTAATTAATCGGTTTAATAAAATCCTCAAGATTCCAAACGCCATTCTCATTTCAATGAAAACACTCATGTGAGAGAATCCTGGGTAGTATTGCTGTTTGAATGGTGTTTATTCTTGGTTGTATTAATGTACTTACTGAGTGATTTTTTTTAGTTTTTACACAGATTTTTCCCCATTATCTGAACACATATACAGATATCTTTCCTTTTCGATTATTTGCTAAAACATTGATCATGCATTTTCACTTCTTATTTTTTATTTCTAAATATAATAATATTCTTGCTTATTTTGGTTGATTACTTGTGTACACATATTCTTTTCTTTATGAGTATATATTTAGCATTTTTATGCGCTATTTTTGTATCACCAATTCTTTGTTGAATATTTGCTTAAAAATTTGCTTCTATAGCATAACTTTTGCCTGTTATATATTTCTGTTCACCTTTAAGCTTAGCAAACTGGCTAAGGTGTAAATAAACAAACTGCTTCATTACTTGATTTGAGTCTTTCTGATCATTTACAAAAGAGGGAAATGAGAAAGTTGAATGAGTAGTTTCTGTACAATCAAAACGTTATATTATTCTACAATCTATCTGTTATTAGAACTCTCCTGTTAGCGTTTTAAAAGCGCATCTTAAATACTTGTGTCATCGTGTATCCGAAATCGCCTATTCTTCTCAAATGAATTATACTTTGCTTCGTTGTCACAAGGGTTTGTGAATACACGGAATTATAGATGAACAGAATTAATTTGATAATTAATTCATCAATAATGGTTTCAGTTACTATCAGCATGTATACACAGATTTAGAATGTGAGTAGATTTCTCTTGTAATCTTAATACTGATATCAAAATTCACTGAAGTTTGCATTTAAGTAGAATAATAATTCTAAATTAGCGTAATGTCCTCAAAATTTTGAGAAGTTATAATCCGTTTTCAATATAGCAGTTAGCTGATATCCGTTGGGGTCTGGTTTGCAGTTCGTTTCTCTTCTGTAAAATGTAAGGTATGTCATCAGACAGTATTGAAGTATAAACTAGCCAATATTTCAGTACACTTTTTCAGTCAAAGGCATTTAATTGCTCACACCTTGTTTTGAAAATATGGCTTACTCGAAGTTCTCTTCCAGTCTGCGTTGAATCTGTAGGGTTGATTTCTAATTTAGGCCATTTGTAATTAATTGTTTGTATTAGTACTGGACGATAGGTGGTTGTTCTTGTTAAAGTAGTGTTAGTAGACTGCTTTAAACTTCCACAGTAATTCATTTACAACAGTAACAAGTCTGCAGTTTTTGACTGCTATCGGAGAATATAAATACCAAATCGAGACGATAATGACCAAGAATTACTACAAAGAGCTTAAAGAGTTTTTAACAAATATGAGATTATGCCGTAGGCCTTGATAAAAGTGGTTAGTAAATCTTTTGGAGTCGATCAGAAGGTGCGGACTTCACCGACCCCTAGATTAGAAATAGGAAGTGAAGTGGTAGAGCACGTTGACCACTTCACTTACTTGGGAAGTACCATCAGCCTAAACGGGTTGATCTCCGACGAAATCTCAGCACGAATAAAGAGGGCTAGTTTCGCATATGCCAGTTTACGCCGTCTCTGGCGTAGACACGATATCCGACTATCGACCAAAGGGCGTGTGTACTGCTCATCAGTCCGCTCCGTCCTCCTTTATGGCTGGTTGTGAGACCTGGCCATTGAGAGTAGAAGACATGAAAAGTTTGGCTAACACTCTTTGATCATAGGTGCCTGCGTTCTTTCTCCCGCGTGAAGTGGTATAATAAGGTGAGCAATATTGAGGTTAGGCGTCGAGTGCTAGGTAAGGCGGGGAAATCAGTCGACGAGACTGTGAAATTACATCGACTGAGATGGTTAGGACATGTGCTATGTATGCCTAGTCATCGCCTTCCTCGACGGGCAATGTTAGCTGATATAGGGCCAGGCTGGAAAAGAGCTAGCGGTGGTCAAACGAAAACATGGCACCAGTCAATGAAATCCACAACAGTTAGTCTAAGCCACGTAGGAAGATGTAGACTTCCTGGTCGGGGTCCTCGGGACGGTGGTGAACACCATCGGCTGGAGACAATTGATCACATGGCTCAAAATCGTTCTCAATGGCTGGCGCAGACACATCCACTCCTTGTGACTTATGATTTCCAATTAAACTGTTTTGTTCTTCGTTATTACTATACCTTTGTCTCACACCTCTGTTTACTATCTATACTATGCATTTCTCCTACTTTCTACTCTTCCTCTGTGCGCTACATGGAGTGTGGCGACTTGAACTACCGCACATATGTGCAAAGTTCTATGTCGAAAACCGACCGATCAGAAGGTGAATTCCCCACAATGACTCTGATATTCATTTGACTTTGTTATTTGTATTTATGATGTCAACTACTCTAATCGAATAATGTTGTCAATTGATGTGATTTCACTACCTAAGAACGCCCCACTAACTGAAACAATATGATCCATATGTGAGTATATTAGTTCTAAGGGATTGCACGTTGGCCTACATACACATTATTTGAAGGCACTTCTACTGAGATGTACTTTACATGTCCACTTCACTTTCGGTAGTAAAATATATAGACAAAAGAATGATATAATTATAGACTCATCAGTACGTCCTGTGCTTAGAGATTTTTTCATGTTGAAACTTGAAAAAACATATCTACAGAAAATGGTCAACAATCTTGGATTTTATAAGAGAGAAGAATTATGTTTTCATTTTACCCGACATTAAAGAGAATTAGGAAGATATCCTGGATTTTTTCATCAGCTGTCACTTTGCAATCCAGCAATCTTACTGAAAAATATCATTTCCAGGTGTTCGATTCAAAAGACTGAACAATAGAACATTGAAAAGATCCATCTACAGAAAGCTTACATGAAAGGAACAATTCATGAACAACGGTTGGTTGTTTCTACACATAAGACGAAACCTAATCTTCTCAATAAGTTACATAAGAATCTGAAACATTTGCAGTCCTGATATCAAGGTAGATGTCAGCTCTGGAAAGGGTTTTGAATGAATGTGGCTACCTATAACGCTCCACCGCAAAATTCATGAAGCTCGCACCACCTAAACGGCATATACCTTCTGTTACCAAGATGCCTTCTCTCTCTCTGAATCTACAACTCAGTGGAGATTCAACGGCAGAAATACTGAAACACTGCCTGTCCCGCTCATTTAAGGCAAACAGCTTCTCAGCTGAACTCCAAGTCACTTTCTTAACAAAATAAACGTAAAGAATAAGTTAACGCTACTGGATTCTTCATTGTGCACCTATGAATTCACTTGTTATTGTGGAGCATGGCGTGTCAGCCATAATTAGCGTTTGTTATCCAAATGTGCTCAGGAGTAAGACAAGGCTGTCTATTATCACTGATGATATTCTTAATTGTGATGTGCTGAATTGTTTGGAAGATTGTGAGGAGTGAACAGTCAGAAATACGTTAGACCGACAAAAAAACTAGGAGATCTGTATTTCGCAGATGATTTATGTCTAATGTTACACAAAGTCGAAGACCTATAAGCGAAAAATAATAACCAACACCAATCACTATCAACGGGAGAAATCTGAAAGAGGTAACCTCCTTCATTTATCTAGGGAGTATCCTTTCAGCGACAGGCGGCCTCAAGGAAGAGGATGACAAAACCAGAATTAGAAAGGCAAAACATGCTTTCAACAGTAGAATCATTTCGGAAATCTTCTGAACTCAGTACAAAGAACAATATTCGAATTTTCAGCAGCAATTTAAGTCACCTCTCCTGTATGAATCTGAAGCTTGCACTGTGCATCATCAAAAGCATTTCCAACAGGTTACAAACTTCTATCAACAACTTCCTTCTCTGGCTCCATATTGAAGATCAAATGGTGAGAAAGAATTGGTAACAGGAAAGTCTGGAAACGAACCAACCAGGATCCTATTGCCCAACAAATATGCCTAACAAACTGGAGATGGATTGGACACACACTGAGGAGCCTGTTGAATGACATTGCGCCCCATATCAATGCTTGAGTGGAACCCGAATGGTAAATAATGAGTAGGGCATCCAAGGATAAGATAGAGGGGATCGCGTGGGGAGTAGAAAAGTGACTCATCGGCATATGTAGGACCAGCTGCGGAGGACCACAGAGTAGAAGATAAAATGGAGATGTGCTATTGATGCCGTATGTTCCACTTGGAACCCAAGCGAACACTAATAATAGTCCAGATGTACTGAGTAATTTTCAGTCTGATACTTCTTATTTTGATGTAGCTATGGTGATTCTCAAGCTGTTTCAACTTCCCATACTTGATTTAAGCGCAAAGTACGTTTTTTCAAGTTTATGTATATTATGCCAATGAAAAAGGTTGTTCATTGTGGAATAGATCAAATGAAGTAAAATTATATTTCGATAGTTTACACACAATGATAAGTTTTTGTATTTGGTAATATTTTGAGCAAAATTACTGCCCATGATTACACCAACTGTTGGAATTGTTTTTGTTGTTTTAATTCCTTATCATTGTGTGTAAACTACTGAAATATAATTATAATTTATTCTGATAATAATAACTATCAAAGTCACTGTGCGTTGATTTTCACATAACATACAATATAAAGTAAGTAGGTGATGAGCGATAACCTATAAAATTATACGCTATAATTCATTGAATCCTTAGCAAGGCGTCCAATCACTTCCGTTCAGTTCCTTTCTCTTGCGTGGAAGAAGTATTTTCAATGTTTTCAGTTGCAGTGTGTTCTTAGTCTCAGTGTACTATCATTTCATCCTATATGATATTTTTATCGACTAATAGTGATATTTCATTAGTTCACTCTGCTGTAATGAAAATTTCGACAGCGGTTAGGACTCTCGCCGACCATGCACACGGTCCGGGGTTCGATCCCCTGCCAAGGCACACCTGATATCAACTGGTCGGCCGGCACAATTTGGGCTACCGATATCACATGCTGAAAATTACATACTTGTACCAAAAATACGGTGTGGAATTAAGCTATAATCATATATATATATATATAAATTCAGTGAGCAATAATTCTGACAGTTATGTATTATAAGGTACATGGAACAGTCTAGATTTGTTCTCTTTTCTTCTATTTTACAACCATGATTATTCTTATTATCGTTAATATGAAAATCTGTATGCATAATATATTGGTATTAGATGGTTGGAGGCAATCGTAAGGAAGCTTTATACCTGTGTTTCGTGCCCTTTGGCCCTTATTAGCAAGGTGTATCTGTAGTCTTGAAGAAACTCATGTCCATTCTGAGATTCCAGCCCGCATCATCCAGTGCTACAGCCAGAGACGTTACCACTGAACTATTCCGGTTCGCGATTGACCACCTGTAAGACTGTATTCACAGTGCATCATGATGGCGAGCCACCTAACATGACGGTCACATTGCAAACTCGACTGATCGAATTCAGTCTGCACCAAGGATAGGACTAGACACATTACACTAGTTACTGACTAGTGTCCAATCGAAAATGCGTAATATAT